GTCGAGTTGGACCTCACTTGGCGAAACACCCGCAGGTATTCCGCGTATCACCACCCTCAGCGTTTTTTCTTCGCTGAGGGTGAAGGTGTGGTACTCCTCGCCTTTGTCTGTCAGTGTCTTTGTCAATAGTCTGTGGTCATTAGGTGTGTTTGGGTATATGGCTATACCGTCTTTAGTGAGTTTGGCTTTGGTGTAATTAATGTTAAGTGTCGTGAGTATTTTTTGTATTTGCGTCCAGCGTTCTTGCTTTCGCAAGATAACCCGCGGGACTTGTTTGGTTTTGTCTGTCTGTTGTTGTGTGTTTTGTGGGGTGTTTTGCAGGGCGCTTGTGGAGGGTTTAGGATGTCTAGCGGCTACGTCAAACCGTTTCTCCGCGTTTTGTCCTATTGTCTGTGTAGCGTTTGTGTATTGTAAGTCGTAATATGTCAGTGTTTCTTACGTACCAGGGCGCGTCGGTGGCCGTGCGGAGGGCTATGTTTTCCACAGCTTGTAATGACTTTAAGTGGCCTTTTGCCACGTGACCCTACGCCGTGGAGGCGTAGGTTAGCTGCGGTTGAAGTACCGCCTTGATAAGCGTTCGCTTATTCCTTAAACTGAGGGTGTTTCCACCTTTGAGTAAGGGATAGAGCCTAGCCCTGGTGGTCTTCGCTCGCGCCACTGTCTCCACGATGTGAGGTTTCCACATGCGCCATTATTCCATGGCTAGAAATTGGCCGCAATGATTTGGGATCGAGGGGGATCATCCCTCTTTATCCTGCCTCATCTCGTGTAGGCCTGGACAGCCTTCGTAGGTGGGCCCCATCCGTCGTCTACCCCGACCGCAAATGCGGCCGGTGTAGGCGCTTTGTGGGACCTCCTTTTGTCCTGGCTGGGCCCCGCCGGCTAGGGCCCTTTCTTCTGGCGCTCTTCTTGCTTCGCCGGCTCGTCTGTGTAAACCCCGGGGGTAGTGTCATGTTTATGTGTGGTATGGTTGGGTAGGGTAGTGCGGCTATGCAGCCTGGGATGCGCTTTGCTAAGGTGGCCCTTAGGCTAGCGCGGGAGGGGAGGGTTAAGGAGGGTATGGGGGGTGTGTGTGTGTGTGTGTGTGTGTGTCGTTGTCTTCGTTTCTTGATCCTGGCTGTCTCTGAAACAGAAAAGGTTAGCGGGCAGGGGGGGGGTCATTGGGGTGGTCACCCAGGGTCAAAAAGTTGGTGTCTAGGTCTTTTGTGTTTGTCGGTCACGTCGGGTACGTAGTCAACGGCTTGCCTGAGGAGGGGATTGTCATGTCTAGCGGCTACGTCAAATCGTTTCTCCGCGTTTTGTCTTATTGTCTGTGTAGCGTTTGTGTATTGTAAGTCTCGTAATATGTCAGTGTTTCTTACGTACCAGGGCGCGTCGGTGGCCGTGCGGAGGGCTATGTTTTCCACAGCCTGTAATGACTTTAAGTGGCTTTTTGCCGCGTGACCCCACGCCGTGGAGGCGTAGGTTAGCTGCGGTTGAAGTACCACCTTGATAAGCGTTCGCTTATTCCTTAAACTGAGGGTGTTTCCACCTTTGAGTAAGGGATAGAGCCTAGCCCTGGTGGTCTTCGCTCGCGCCACCGTCTCCACGATGTGCGGTTTCCACGTGAGACGCTGGTCCATCGTCACGCCCAGGTATCGTGTTTGTCGATTCCAGGAGATGGGTTCCTGGGATAGTGTCAGTCTGTCAAGGTTTTGTGGGATTTTTCGTTTGGTAAAAAGGATAGCCGAACTTTTGTTGGGATTAATTTTGACTTTCCACCTGTTGCACCAGGTTTCAAGTTGGTCTAAGGAGCTTTGGAGGAGGTAGACGGAATATCTAGGATCTACGGATTGGGATGTGATTGTCAGGTCGTCGGCGTATAAGTATATGTTGGTGTTGGGGGGATGTGGGATGTCGGAGTTGTAAATGGTGTATAGGTGTGGGGACAGGACGGTGCCCTGGGGGACACCGGCCTCCATGGGACGGGTGGTGGAAAGGGAATCTTGGATTTGGATGCGGAATTTTCGGTGGTGTAGGTAGGATTTTATGAGTTTGGTAAAGGATATGGGATATTGGTTGGTGAGCATTTTCATCAGTAGGCCTTCATGCCAAACCGTATCGAAGGCCTTTGCGACGTCCAGGAAGACAGCACCAGTGTACTGTCCCCTGTTGAAGGCCGCCGTGATGTGCTCGGTAAGGCGAAGGATTTGGAGTTCAGTGGAGTGATTGGGTCGGAAGGCGAACTGCTCGTCTGGAATGACTTGCAGTTCTTGGGAGTGGGTTCTTAGACGGGTTAGGATAATTTTTTCTACCACTTTGCTCATAGCCGGGAGCAGGCTAATGGGCCGGTAGTTGGATGGGATGGTGTGATCTTTGTTGGGTTTTGGGATAAGGATTATGTTTGCTGTTTTCCAGCGGGTAGGGAAGTGTCTTAGTCTGAGTGTCGCGTTTGTTATGTTTAGTAGGGCCATGAGGCCCTTGTGTGGTAGTCGTTTAAGTGTCGTGTTATGTATATTGTCGGGTCCGGGGGCTTTTCTGTTTTTAAGTCTGCGTATTGTCAGTCTTAGTTCGTCAGGTGTTGCGGGGGGGATTATGTCATTGTCTGGCTCTCTGTCGACGCGTCGGGCCGCGCGCTCAGCCACTATCTCGAATTCCTCGTCTTCGTCGGGCAGCTGAGGCAGTCTACACTGCAGTTCCAGGCTATCGGCGAAAGCCTCGGCCTTTTCCTGGTTCGTGTAAACCACCCCCACACTACCGTGGATTGGAGGAATTTTACGGCGAGCGGTCTGTCGCAGGGCCCTCTGCGTTTTCCAGAGGCTGTTGTCTTGTGGATCCAGCGACTCCAGGTGCCTAGCCCAGTTATCCTGGGCCAGTTCATCCAGAGCCGCCTTCACCCGTCTGTTAAGTACGTTTAAGTCATGTCTGTGTCGGGGGAGGCGGGTGCGGGTGGCAAGCCGTTTCGCACGTCGTCTGTCACGTATTAAGTTTTTTATGTCATCGGGGAGGGTGCCCCGGGGGTTTGTCAGTCGGGGGACAATAGTCTCCGTCGTAGTCTGAGTCAGGGCGTTTTTAATGTCAGTCTCAAGGGAGAGGATTGCCGCCTCCAGATCATGGGTGGTTTCGATGACTGGGAGCGCCATGTTTCCTTGCATTACTGTTCGGAAACGCTCCCAGTCAGTGAACCTCCTCGTGAAGGTGCCTTCATATCTCTGTCTTCGCCCCAGATCCAGAAATATTGGATTGTGGGCGGAAGACCCTTCGTATTGGGTGGATATTTGGGCATTTAACGGTATAGATTTTAAGAGGGCAATGTCGATAACGTCGGGGCGTCCTACGGGTCCGTAATGTGTCGGTTCTGTCGGTCCGAGTATAGTCAAGTCGTCGTGTCTGTCTTGGTAATTCAGCAGGACGCGACCTCTTGTGGTCGTCGTCCCGCTGTGCCATATGGGGGACTTCGCGTTGAAGTCCCCGATGGCAATTGTCTGGGGCCAGGAAAGGATTTTGTCTAAGTCATTGTCAAGTAGTGGTAGTCTGGGTGGGTGGTAACAGGACACCACCGCAACGTCTCCATGCCGTAGCGATCTCACCGCTATCGCCACGGCCTCTGTGTTTTGAGTTTGGAGCCGCTGCAGCGGATAGTGGTCGATGCACTTCTTTACTATGAGTGCAACACCACCCCCGTTACGGTTTCTGTCATGTCTGTATATGTCATAGTCAGGGATGGAGGTACGGGATGCCTCGCTGAGGTAGGTCTCCTGGACAGCCATTACGTCTATGTTTATACGGTTCAAGATGTCCACGCTTTGTTGCGTCTATCAGGGCCGCCGCGCCAGGTTGGGAGGGTGTCGTGTGGTGAGGTGTTGTGTTTTTGTTTTTGTGTGTTTTGTGTTTTGTCAGCGTATGTGAGTCCCGGGGTTGTGTTTGGGGTGGGTAGGAGGGGTTGTCTGTGTGTTTGTGTAGTGTTTTGTGTCGTATGTGTGTTTGTATTTTGTGTCTTTATGTTTGTAGCTTTGGGGTACTGAGGGCACCCCATATAGCTGGCGGGGTGT